GTAGATTAGACCGTAAGAGTACGAGTGGGACTTGTCACTTGCTTGGTAGTTCTTTAGTCTCATGGTTTAGCAAGAAGCAAGTCAGTGTTGCGTTATCCACAACCGAAGCGGAATATGTTGCCGCCGGTAGTTGTTGTGCTCAAATCCTTTGGATGAAGCAACAACTTGTGGATTATGGCCTTAGTATCGATCACGTTCCTCTTCGATGTGATAATACTAGTGCCATAAGCTTGACGAAGAATCCGGTTCTTCACTCAAGGACGAAACATATTGACATTAGGCATCATTTCATTAGAGATCATGTTCTCAAAGGTGATGTCGAAATTGAGTTCGTTGAAACACACAACCAATTAGCCGACATTTTCACAAAACCTTTAGAGAAAGAGTCGTTCTTCCGCATTCGTAGTGAACTCGGAATCCTTGACTCCACGATGATCTAAATTGTGCATAAATTATTTTTTTTGGTCCCTACTAACTTGAACGTCGGAGATGTTTTTAATTCTTTTTTGCAAGGCTTCTTTTAAATTTTACTTTTCAGGTGTCAAAGGCAGGGGGAACATGTAAATCAATTCTTGCTTCAGACCTAGTGATAATCGATTTACAGGCTTGTGATAATCGACTATCACAGCCTGCAGAAGTTTAGAGCACAAAAGCTGAGGAGTAAACAATCGATTATCAACATTAAGATAATCGATTATCTGAGCCTGCAGAAGTTTAAGGCAACTCAGGCGCAAACTCCAACAATCGATTTACCAAACATGGCAATCGACTATTGAAGACTGCAGGACCATCAGCGGAGAATCTGAGGCATCTGATAATCAATTGACAGGTCATGATAATCGATTATCAACGGAGATTTTTCAAAAATCTAACCGTTGCAGAGACGTTGGAGAGCAGTTAATGCCTTGTTTGACCATCCCAACGGATCTCTACACCTCCTCCACTATATATTGGTGATATCTACTTCATTTTTACTCATTCCAATCATCTCTTGTCCATATATTCATCATAATCCATCATTCTTGCTCCTATTCTTCATTTTTTCTCTTCAAAAATTTGTGTAATCTCTCTCTCCTCTATTGTTCCAATGGCAGGCGGTCAAAGAAAGCGTTCCCGCACCGGCAAGAACGTTGCTTCCTCTTCGGCTCCTCCACCATCAACGCACAAATACCTTGACGGGTCGTTTCTTTGGTTCAACGACCGCGAAGTGGCTACAAGGTTCTCGGAGAAGTTTGAGCATCGGGAAATTCTCCCTCCCCGATTCTCCACCGCCCGCTTCATTCATGACTCCATTCCATGTGAGGCACGGGTTATCCTTGAACGTGGAAACTTCCTCGATCTCCTCTACATCAAGAAGGTCAATTATCAACCTTTTCTTGTTCGAGCTTTCTATTCGAACTTGAAAAAGGATGAGGACGGATCGTTGATTTCAAACGTCAACGGGGTGGATATTTATTTGAATGAAGAGAACATTCAAATCCTCACCGGGCTTCGTCGGGACGGACAGGATCTCGGGCTCTACACCGGAGAAGAGGGGGCGCGGTTCAATGAGACCGCTCTCTTGGAGGAAGTGGGCATCCGTCACTTCGTACCCACTCCCCAACAGCGGCGCCCTACGATTTCTTCCATGAGTCCCGTATATCGTTTCATCTTCTATGTGTTGACACGGATCCTCAAGCCCAGGAAGTTCAACCACACCAATCTCTCCCAAGAAGACACGAAGACGATCCATGCGATGATTCACAACGCCAATCTCAATTGGTGTAAATTTGTGATGACTCACATGTTCACGGCCACCTCCGACAATCGGCCGCTCCCCTATGCCCTCCTTGTCATGGCAATTCTTGAAGAATACAACATCAAAACCGATGTTGGGCCAAAGGTAAAGGGGACAAAGCACTGGGAGATTGATGAGTCTTCTTTCCACTCGGGCACCGACGAGACTCCGTTTCGACAGCCTCGTCCACGCCGCCAACCGAGAGCCACTGCCTCAGCCGCCACCACATCGACCAATCCTTCTCTCGCCGAGCAAATGGCAGCCTTAACCGCCACTCTCTCTCGGATTGACACCAACGTCTCCAAAACGGCGCACAACGTCAATACCTTGAGCCGTGAACTTCACGGGTATTTTGACTTTGTCAATTACCCGTACGCTCAAATGGTCCCTTACGTTCCTCCACC